GCAACTAATCTATGTTCATTCAATTTGACATCTCTCACTCAACAATATTGTCCATCAAATGTCACATTAACATCAATTAATTTTTATACAATAACATCGTAAGAATATGCTGCAAAATATTTAATGAAATAATGACAATGATTATATTTTAGATTATGCAATGTTTCTAAATCAAATTTCACTTTTATTCACTATGATATCAAAGTTCGCACAGATAGACAAGTAATTATATTAATAATCATTGGATGTGTTAGTCTTATATCTGGTTATATTCGAGTTATATTATTAGAAACATCAGCAGAAAGACAAACTCGAACTATTCGACAGATTTTATTTCAGTCTATTCTTAAGAAAGATGTTGTCTTTTTTGATACACATAAAACTGGTGAACTTAGTGTACGTTTGACAGATGATATCAATAAAATTCATGATGGAATTGGTAATAAATTTGGTTCAGTTATTGAAGTGTCAACAACTTTTACAAGTTGTATTATTATTGGTAAAATATTTATAGTTGAAAAAAAAATGATCAAATACAAACTAATTGACTGATGACTAATTTAGGGTTTATAAAAGGATGGAAATTATCACTTGTCATATTTTCATTCTCACCAATCATTGCCATTACAGCAGTTATTTTATTCAGAGTAAGATTTTCTACAATTCATAGCTAACATTTCTATATTATGCGTTTTTATCCATAGATTGTCACTAGAATGACTGCAATTGAATTAAAAGCATATGGAAGAGCTGGAATAGTTGCTGAGGAAGTAATAAGTTCAATTCGCACTGTACTTTCATATAATGGACAAGAAAGAGAAATACAAAGGTTAGTGTTTGATCACGATAATATTCTTTTAAATTTCGATTGAAGAATTTATTTTTCAATATATAGATATGAACAATATCTTGATGATGCAAAAAAATGTGGCATCAGAAAAGGTGTGACCACTGGTATTTCAACTGGCATAGCATATTTTATTTTTTTCTGTGTATATGCATTAGGTATTCATTTTAGTTTTGATGATTTCAATATGTTTATATTCTTCTTGTATATGATAGGATTTTGGTATGGAACGAAACTAGTTTGGGAAGAAAGCTACACTATTGGAAGTGTTTTTACTGTAAGTATAATGAATATTCAAGGCTATTAGGTAGCAGAGATGGAATCGGTTCAGATCGCAGCTTTTCAAACCAATCTCAGTTTCGATAGCGTTTAAATTTTCAAAAAATTTCAACCGATCTCATATCTTATATACAATACTAAACGTGATTTTTCTAATGATTTTGTATCAAGCATAACTTTCTCATAATGTTGACTTTTGAAATGTGGTTTGCGTCAAAAGTACCATCAGTATTTGTACAATGTTCACAGAAAATTTCATATCTAAATGTGAGTTATAGTGAAGCTGTATATTTAATAATCCAATGTAATCAATTTTTGTTGGAAAAAATTGTTTTGGATGATCGTTTAAATAGAGTTAATTTTTTTCACACAATTTTTCAAAAGAATTGAAACCATATGAATAGAAAGAGTAAAATATGAGCTACATTGTGATAACTAAAAATTTCTAAAAACAAAATGTCTATGAAGTGAAATGCTTATTCTATGACAGACAACTGACAATGTTCATGTGAACTCATTATCATTTTTATATGATGAGTAATTTTTCCTCCAAAATATCACATTCAAAAGAGCGTCTGATGCTCCAAATTTTTCAAAAAACGAGCTCTTAAAATTGAAAAAGACTTTTTTTGGAAACTTTAAAGCATCTGCTACCTTATGCAACATCAGACACTCTCTTGAATATGATATTTCGAAAGAAAAACTACTCATCATATAAAAATGGTAATGAGTTCACATGAACACTGTCATTCGTTTGTTATAAGACAAGCATTTCACTTCAAAGACATTTTGTGTTTAGAAAACTTTAGTTATCAAAATGTAGCTTGTGTTTGTCTCTTTCTATTTATATAGTTTCAGTTTGGTTCGGTTCAGCGTTCGTCGAATTCCTCTCGGCTGTGATTCCTTTCAAATCTTGGTAAATCTGAATTGATTCCATCTCTGCTGTGTAGTAACATTGTTCATTGTATATTATGTCATATTATATTTTCGCTGAACAAATTGTTGTAGAGAAGTCTAACGTGTACTCTAGTTATTATTCAAACTATTCTGATCTAATTCTTCATTTGAGTCTGGTTTCTCATGAAATCAAATGTCGAATGAAAACATTGGGATTCATATAAACAGAAAAAATTGAAAAACAAACTCTTTTACCGACTATAGATCTGTTAAGATGCATCATAGAACAAAGATCAAATGAAAAGTTTAAACATACTACGAAACTTGTGAAGTCTGACGAAGTCTTCACAGTCATGCTGAATTTCTCAAGATGTTACTTTCATATTGATTTATGTTAATCATCTTCTTCACATTGCTAGAACAAACTAATAATAATGTTTTTATCTTACAAAAGTATTATTCTTCTTTATGAACAGATTATAAAGTACTGATTAAGTTCCTCAAGAGCAAAAGACTAAATTTCAAACAGCGAGAGCATAGCTACCGATAAATTTTCACTTACCTTAATAATGAAAAGCATTAGTTTTCATAGTATATCTTGAATTTTTCCGTTCCTATCACATTCACTGTATTTAGATATTTATATGCATCAGTATTGGGTTTTTATGTACGGCACAAGCAAGTCCTTATTTTCAAGGATTATATGAAGCTCGAGTTGCTGCCTATGGCATATGGGAAGTGATTGATGAAGTAAATTCATTTTTATGTTTCATATTTACAAATTTATCTATAAATATCTAATTTCTTCTTGATATCATAGCCATCAAAGATTAACAACATGGATTCTGATAAAGGTCTTATAAAAGATGATCTCATTGGTGATATTCATTTTTCAAATGTTTACTTCTCTTATCCATCACGACCTGATGTTCCTATTCTTACTAATTTATCATTTAATATCAAATTTGGTCAAACTGTTGCTCTTGTTGGTTCATCTGGATCAGGAAAATCAACTTGTATTCAATTATTACAAAGATTCTATGATCCACAATTAGGTTCAATTCTTATTGATGGAAAACAAGTCAATCAATATAATCTAAAATGGTTAAGAAAACATATTGGTGTTGTTAATCAAGAGCCAGTTTTATTTCATACAACTATTCGTCAAAATATCTTATTTGGATCTGATTCAGCTACTAATGAAGAAATTTATCAAGCAGCTAAAATAGCTAATGCACATGATTTCATCATGACACTTCCTAATGTAAACAAAATATAACATTCTTCTTTTTTTTTCTTTTCTTATCATTTTTAATAATAATTAATTTTATTGTAGAAGTATGAAACTCTTGTTGGTGAACGTGGAGCTGCACTTTCAGGTGGACAAAAACAAAGAATTGGTAAGTAATAATATTCATTTTCGTATTCAGAATTTATTCTATTTATATTTTTTTTAGCTATTGCTCGAGCACTTCTTCGAGATCCAAAAATTTTACTTCTTGATGAAGGTAAATTCTTCAATGTTGTATTTTAACAATTGTTTCATTATTGATTGTATATTATAGCTACTAGTTCACTTGATAATGAAAGTGAAAAGATAGTTCAAAAAGCTTTAGATCGTGTTGCTCAAGGTATATCATTGTTACAAAAAATTAAAATCACATGGTTTTATTTTATTTCTTTTTTGCTACAAGGTCGAACAACATTAATAATTGCACATCGTTTATCAACAATTCTCAATGCTGATAAAATTATTGTGATGCAACAAGGAGAAATAGTTGAAGAAGGTGATCATGATTCATTGATGAAAGCTCAAGGCATATATTTTGATCTTGTTAAACAACAAAATTTACGTCAACTTGAAGAAGAAGAAGAAGAAGAAGAATTAGAAATGGAACAAAAGGAAATGACTCAATTGATACCGGGTGATCAAACAAATGATGATTCAATGGAACAAGTACATCATAAATTAATAATAGATAGTGCTGCTCAATCAGTAATATCTGCTGTGTATGAAATGAAAAATTCCTTAACAGGTTACAAGTTGCATAAGAATGATGACGAAAAGATGAGTAAGCTAAAGGTAATAAAAATAAACAGAAGAATATTCCATTATGAAAGCTAGAAATAATTTGAATAGGAAAGAAAAAAGAACACTACACTATCTATATTACAAATGAACAAACCAGAATGGATATTAATTCTAACTGGATGCATATTAGCTTCAATAAATGGAACTACGGAGCCGGCATATTGTGTTATTCAAACAAAACTTGCAACAGTAAATGTTTGAGAAATATTGATATTTAAGATAAATATTTTTGATGAATAGGTTTTTCAAGAATGTAATGAAAATGTTCAAAAACAAAAAGTTTTCCTTTATATCCTTCTATATCTTGCCTTGGGAGTTATAAGTTTAGTATTGCTTTCAATTCAGGTATGTGTTTTGATAACTTTTGTGATGATTTTTCAAATATGCATTTGCTCAGGGTTATTTTTTTGCTCAATCTGGTGAAGCTCTCACTAAAAGACTTCGATCAAAAGCTTTTCGAGCTATTCTTCGTCAAGAAATTGCCTATTTCGACCAAGAAAACCATAGTACAGGTGCATTATGTACACGTCTTGCAACTGAAGCATCAGCTGTAAAAAGTGCAAGTGGTGTTCGCTTTGGTTTGATTTTTCAACATATTTTTGGAATGATAGTTGGAATTCTAATTGGATTTGTGTACTCGTGGCAGTTAACATTGCTTATGCTTGTTTTTCTTCCATTTATATTATTTGGAGGTATTTTAGAAATTCGATTAACAACTTACTTTGCAAGCAAAGACAAACAAATTCCTGAGAATGCTGGAAAGGTTTGTGAATGCTTTATTTGATTTTCATTCAATCATTACTCAAATAAGAGAGATTGTAATCAATTCGTTGTGAGTATTTTCACTACATAGCGTCGTTAAGACTATTGAAATTTGTGAATACAATGAAGCATCTCTCTACCAACGACAAAATGACTGCGAATCACATTTTTTTATGTAACTTTTGATAGAAACAAGATAGAGAGCTGCGGTTTTCACTATTGGAAAGAGGAAATTAAGACGCATTGAATCATATGTTATAGACTTTTTGACTTGGTTTTTCTAAAGTTTTCAATTGAGCTTTTTGTGAAACAACGTTTTTGATAGATGACTACAAGGAATTTTCAACTATCTGATATATATTGAAAGCGACAATTGAATATCTATAAAACTGTGCACCGCTCAGATTCTGAGCTTCAATCGTTCAGGAGTTATAAGTATTCTACTCGGAACTAGAAGCCGATTTTTCTAACAGTTCCTGTGAAAAATAAAACTTTTTTTCTTTTTTTCTGTTTGATAAAAACTGTTTTTTCCCTACCCATTTTTGGAAAATGGACTTTAAAAGACTCAAAAAGCATATTTAGAAAAGTTTGTAAAATACGTTTCCATGCTTCTTTATCTCCGCTTTCCAACGGCGGAAACTGCAACTTCCTATCTTGTTTCTATCAAAAGTTACATAAAAAAATGTGATTCGCAGTCATTTTGTCGTTGGTAGTCTGATATGACTATGATTGAGACGTTTCTAAATTATTCACTGCTGAAAGATATTATAAGTATAATTGTTCAATGTAAAATGTTTCATATTATAAGCCTTTTTAATACAGCAAGTATGAAGTAATCAGAAACTGTTGATTTCATCATTTATATTCTTTCCATTAAAGCCAATGAACCAAAAAGACATTTCCGAAAAATGCCTAATTAAACTTGGTTAAATTAATCTTAATGATATATGTGTCAATGGAGGATCACTATCATTATCATCATTATCTTATGCATTGATGTTCCGAGCTGAATATTTTTATATCTATCCACGATGATCGTTTCAACAGTCAGAAATAGTGTCTTGAATAGTCAAAAATAACCATTAAAATGACTAATTCCTTTCATAAATAGTTACAATCAATGATGGGTTTTCATCGTTTTGCAGAGTCGTATAAGAAATGTCATGAAGAACTGTATTTCATTCCTATTTTGACTTATACACATCGCTCTTTTTTGCAATCTAGAACTGAAATTGTCTACTTTCATTAGGCTTTATGCAATACTTAACCTACACTTTCTATCACTATGAAATTTTTTATTTCATCAGTAGAATTCATACATAGAAATTAACACGACCAATCTATGTTAGTAGTGTATGCACGAACAGCGAAGCTGCACAATGATTATAATTATCTGTAGTGGCACAGCGAAAAATTTTTTTCCGCAATCTACTTATCTAATATAAATACATGAAGTTGTGGAAGAATGCCTTTTTGAATGATTGAATTGTGGCAGGTGTTTTTCAACATTTGAGATGTTTAGAAACAGAAGACGATTGTTGAAAATTGAATGAATGCCACATTGAATATCTCAACATATAGAAACATCGGTTTGCTTATCTTTAGTACTTTACTATCGAGAGAAGTAGCGAATGGAGAATAGAGAAAAATGTGTTCATCTCGATAACTTGATAATCGAGATCATGTTGGTCATCGCTTAGTATGTTGCAACGATATGTTTGAAGCATTCCTGCCATACTGTTGAATAGATCTGTATAAGAAATAGCTAAAAAAGCTTTTCATTTGGGCTCAAATTATCTAATAAACGGAATAACAGAAAAGAAAGGATAAATTGTAGGTCAATCACAGCAATAGAATTCAGAGTGGTATTTTAGCGTGATCCATTCAGTAATGAGACATAATATTATCAAGATTTTTATTCGTTATAGATTGTTAAAGATTGCCTAACGATGATTTTAAAATATTTCTTGTAACAGATATCCTGTATCATATTACTTCTTCATTTTACAATGTATCATAAATGATTATCGTAACAGTAGATGTTTTATAATGATTTACAATCGTACACAGTCCGCTGTAAATGATATGCGTATACCGATTATTTACATAGTTCTTCATCAACTTTTATTTCTTTATAGCAATTGAATTTTCAGCTTCATATTTGGATTTTTATTTGATTAACACTCATGTATTGATCACTTTTTCTATATTTTACTGGTTTTGTTTTAAAACGAAATGAAATCATTTATTTTTCGACTAATTTATGTTATGATAAAATTGTACCATCGTTGTTAACATGGTTAAATCAATAATTCTGTTTCAAATAACAATCAATCATGAAATCAGTCTACTCTCTGATGTCTTCAGTTATAATAAACTATCTGTAATCAAGTGTAAGATATTCGATAGGAATAATAGATAGTAGAAAGAATAGAATAATACACATGCGCTCATATAAGAGAGGTTATAACATAGAACAAGGCAGTTCAATATGTTATTCCATGTTTAGAGTAGCAGATGTTCAATAAAAGAAGTTTAGTTTTATCTTACAACCATTGTAGCTTTCAGAGCATTAAAAAAATGTTGATATATATCTGTTAGCGATATGAGTAGTGTTCAAGAGCAAATTTTGAAAGGGTATTCTCTTTAGATGTGTCATGTGAAATTCGAAAGTAGTTTAGATGAAGCATAAAAATCTTGTTTCTGTGAATCATCTCTCTTGACGAGCTACATCCACCTATCTCCGATAAAACATGCTGCAAGAGGCTTTTCATCTTTCAAACATTTTTCTAATATTCGAAAATCAATATTTGCATAGATTTCTTTCTTAATCAAACACATGAGAATGTTCTCATTGTAAAAAATAACATCATCGAATTAATACTAGTTTCCTAAACGAATCTGAAATTGAGAATTTCCAATCTTAGAAGTGAACATAGAAATATTCATTTGCTCACACATACATGTATCAAACATCTAAGATTATAATAGTTTCTAATTGAACATGAGATCTAATTTTATATTGGATACGACAAATTACTGTATCTAATATATAAGTATCTTAAATTTTAGATAGAGTCTTAACTGTGATAACTTGCTAGTATCCGATAAGTGAAGAGTAGTTATTCTAGATAAGATTGATGAATTTAAGATAGATAAAGAGAGAATGTATATGAAGAAATGTGAAAAAATTGTCTATGCCACATAATAGCACTTCTTTAATTCATATGAGTTTGTTCTCGTTCAATTGTTAACAAGTTTTGGTTGTTTTTGTATCTTTTTAATTATTCTATTGAAGGTTGCTATAGAAACTATACAAAATATTCGAACAGTGATTCAATTGACAAAAGAAACTCATTTTTATGATGAATATTCTCAAATACTTGATACTCTTCATCGGTATGGCCATTTTTTTTTATATCTATTTGTCAAGAAAATTATGTCATTTGCTTTCAGATCATCAATTAAGCGTGTTCATATTTTAGCTATTTTATTCTCCGTAGCAAATGCTGCTATTTACTTTGCCACAGCAGCTTTCACTTCTTATAGTACCTTTTTGTTTGAGCAACGTGCAGTTCCTTTTGAAAATGGGTTTATGTAAGTACTAGAAAATCGTGTATTGGCAGACGATAGTCGTTGAATAAATAATGTTCTAGGGTTCTTAATACTGTTGTTTTCGCCGCTCGAACTATTGCCCAAGAGTTAGCATTGTAAGTTTTTAATTGAATTTCATCAGTTGAAAAATGATTTCTTATTTAGATTTCCAGACTATGGAAAAGCAATCCAAGCTGCTGAAAACATTTTCAAATTATTAAATCGAAAACCAACAATCGATAATCAATCAAAAGATGGTATTGAAATGGTGTGTGAATAATATAAATATCTTTGATATGCACTAACTATCTTTTTGTTATTTAGACTGACTTTACTGGACAACTTGACTTTGAAGATGTTTATTTTTATTATCCCAATAGACCTCAATCAACTATTCTTAGAAATTTCAAACTCAATATCAAACCTGGTATATATATTATTAATTTGTTTTGATCTTTGTAAATATTCATATATTTTTGTTCGTATGTTTTCCATAGGTCAAAACATAGCACTTGTTGGTATGTATAATTATCAATCATTTTCATTACAATGAAAAATTCATTTTAAAATATCAATCTGTTTAGGTACATCTGGTTGTGGAAAATCAACAACTATTCAATTAATCGAACGTTTTTATGATGTAAATATGGGTCGTCTTGTAAGAAATTTCTTTTTCTTCTTTCTCACTTTTTCATTTGTCTCATCATTTCAGTTGATTGATTCAAAAGATATTCGAACTCTTAATCTTCAATGGTATCGATCACAAAGTAAATAAATAAATAAATATACTTTTCTTCTATCATATCATTTTCATTTATCTTTCTTTTTATTTGTTAGTTGGTATTGTTTCTCAAGAACCAGTTCTCTTTGATATGTCAATTCGTGAAAATATTGCATATGGTGATAATAGTCGAAAAGATATTCCATTAGATGAAATTATTCAAGTAGCAAAAAATGCAAATATTCATGATTTTATTAAAGTTCTTCCAGATGTAAGATATAAAGAATTTATTTGTTTTTATGCTGAAAAAGAACATGTTCTCTTTTTGAAATATAAAGGGATATGAAACAAATTGTGGTGCAAAAGGAACTCAATTATCAGGTGGACAAAAACAAAGAATTGGTAAAATAAATCTTGATGATGGTTTTTTTCTCTAGTTAAAAGTTGATTTTAGCAATAGCTCGAGCATTACTTCGAAATCCAAAGATTTTATTACTTGATGAAGGTAAAAGAAAAGAAAAGAAGGAGAAGTTTTGAAATATTTAATATAATATAATGTAAAATTGTTTAGCAACAAGTGCATTAGATAGTGAAAATGAAAAGATAGTTCAAGATGCATTAAATCGTGCTCAACAAAATCGAACATCAATAACAATTGCACATCGTTTATCAACAATTCAAAATGCAGATATGATTTTTGTTTTTCATAATGGAACAATTGTAGAAAGTGGAAATCATGAAGAATTACTTGCTCTTGGAGGTCGATATTATCGATTAGCAACAATAAATAAATAAAATATACGTAGAACTA